TTATCGGGCTACGTCAAAGAGGCCGGAAGAGATCGGTGATCGTGTGATCTGGACATTTTTTTGCCATGACTAACCTACCTGTTGATATCAACCCATTTGGATCAGAAAATTATGTTGATACGTATATATAAGAGTTGACAACAAAGAAGTAAATTTTATATTGTCTGTGTTCAATTTTTTACAATTTTAGGTTGATATTAATGATAGTAGAAATATAGTAAATTAAATACAACTTTTACTTGTGACAGAGCTAACATTTTGGAGGTGACGGGTAAAAAATTTTAGTTTAATTTTGATTGGTTAAAAAGCTCAAAATATATTAAATGTGGATGGGATAAGCCTCTATAGTATATGTAAACTTATACCCTAACCCTATTTCCACTTACCGTATTTTCACGAAATAACGCGAGGAGTGTTATTTCGCGAAAATATGGTCAACATATATAAAGATCGTTGACTATGTTCCTGAGATTTTATTTTGTGGCAAAATATAACAATTAATATATCAGTTTGTATTACGTAATTTTTACTTATTAGAGTTAAGCTATTTCATGACAAGGTAGGATTTACTGTTACGTACATATTACAAAGCCACGTGAGTAAATAAAAACTTGAATAAAAAGGTTGGCTGTACTTTTTATAGATATCGATATCGGGAATATATTAATAAACTTCAATATCGATATCTCAAATTACACGGTGTAACCATTCCATTGAGACTAAGTTGATTATGTTGTAATCTTAAATATGGTACTGTATATTAGAATATTTCAAAATTCATATCCATCTCTCGTTTTATCATATCTTTTTTTTTTTCGAAATAGATTCCATTATGACTGATTCTATCGTAGATTGTATGTTTTATGGCATTATAATTAATTTATCGAAAATCATGTTATTAAACTAGCCTTGAAAAACTTTTATAATTACATTATGATATTAACATGCTATATATTTATTCACAAATAGTAAACCAAATTATTGCAGATAAGATTATGCCAAATCTTGGTTATGAAATTGAGGATTTCCAATATCATACGTGGCGAATCACAGGTTGGAATAATTTAGAAAAGAGGATAACAGGCCCTGAGTTTGAAGCTGGAGGTTGGAAATGGTAGGTTCGCTTAAAAATATAACTTGAATATAGATTCATTTTCTAATTAGATTATAAACTTCAAATTTAGGCGTATTTTGCTTTTTCCTTCTGGAAACAATAATTTGGATGTTGTTTCAATTTATTTGGATTTTGCTGATCTGAAAGAAGCACCCGTTGGCTGGCATTCATGTGTACAATTTGCTTTATTATTATGGCATCCAGAAGATTCAACATTATCTGTTTCTCATAGTACGTATTAAATTATTCATAATTTAGTAGTCTATGCCATTAACATTTTAATATTCGATTGCAGATGCAAGGCATTGTTTTAGTGCCGAAGAATCAGATTGGGGATTTACACGGTTTTGCAGCCACCATAAGCTGTTTTTACCATGGGAGGATCACACTCGTTCACTAATAGAAAACGATACTTGTAATATTACGGCTTTTGTTCGCATTTTAAAGGAACCAAATGGTCTTCCATGGCATAACTTTATAACAGAGTATTCTATCTTCTTTTAAATTATATTATATTTTAAAATTGCTTTTTCATACAAATCTTTTCACATACTGTAGTTATGATTCGAAAATAGTGACAGGATATGTTGGCCTAAAAAATCAAGGGGCAACTGATTATATGAATGTTGAGTTGCAATTATTATACAGCTTAAAATATTTTCGTAAAGTTAATACTTCTACTTGATTTAAAATGAACCTTTTTATATAAAATATAAGGATATTCATATTTTTTAATTATAGGCAATATATCAAATTCCGACAGAAGATGATGAACCAGTCAAAAGTATTCCTTTGGCAATACAAAGAATTTTTTATCAATTGCAAACATCAGATACTTCAGTTGAAACGACGGAATTAACGAATTCTTTTGGGTGGGATTCGTCAAATTGTCATGTGCAGCATGATTTACAGGAGTTTGATAGAGTGTTACTAGATTATTTAGAAAATAAAATGAAGGTGAGAATTATTATTATCCATTAACATTATTTTTAAATCACGGAACTTTTACACTTACTGTGTGCCTGGATTTAAGAATACAAATGTAGGTGATGCCATTTCTAGACTTTTTGCTGGTAAAATGAAGAATTATATTAGATGTGTCAACGTAAATTACGAATGTTCACGTATTGAAGATTACTATGGTATTAGTAAATATATGTATATGCTGTGTCTGTAAATTTTTTACGATTGATTTATTTAAGATTCAATTTAATCGCGATAGATATTCTTCTTGAAGTAAAGGGATACAAAACTTTAAGCGATTCTTTCATGAATTATATTCTTGAAAAATCTTGTGAAGGAAATAATAAATATCAAACTGAAAATTATGGTTTACAAGTAAGTCATATTTGTCACAATGCTACTGAAGGCTACATTAAATGGAATGATCTTTATTATATAATTGTCTGTAGGATGCAAAAAAAGGTGTAATTTTTGAGAGTTTTCCACCTGTACTACGTATACAATTAAAACGGGTTGAATATGATTGTCAAAGGGATACTTTAGTAAAGGTGCCTACATTTTTTTTATTATGACCTCTAGTATTTAATTAAATAGTTTATTTATTGAAAAAAAAAACATACTTAGATAAATGATCGTCTCGAATATCCTCTGGAGGTTGATTTACAAAGATATTTATCACCAGATAGTGATAGATCAAAGCCGCATAATTATTTACTTCATGGGTTTGTAACAGTGGCATCAATATTCAAATATTTATGACTTTCAACACATATTAATAACTTTTTCATTATATTTAGAGTAATTGTTCACAATGGTGATTTACATGAAGGCAGTTATTCTATTTTTTTAAAGCCAGAAAAGAATGGCAAATGGTGTGAATTTCAACAATAAACAATAAATTAATTTTTATATCATAATAATATGTCAGATAACTGAGATTAATTATCATAAAAGGTTCAAATTTGATGATGATAGAATTATACCTGTAACTGATAAAGAAGTACTTGAAGATAATTACGGAATTGAAACTCCTAATGCCATCAGTTCTACAAACGCATACATGTTGATATATATCCGTGAATCCGATATCGATTTTGTGTTATCTCCTATACTTGGTGAGGATATACCGAAACATTTACGTGAGTGATCCAATTTATGAGACATTATGATTTGAAATTGCGCTGTAAATTTATGTTTCATGTACATATGTTAATAGAAAGACGTCTTGATGAAGAGAAAGCTTTATATGAACAGAAAAAAAAGGAAACCGATGAACCCTACTTATATCTGTCTATTAAGGTAATTAGGTAACGAAATTATGTGAATCAATAATAAGTTTATATTATTCATAATAATTTAAGCTTTATTCTCAACTTTTATTATTAGATTGTGACTCCAGCTATCTTTGAACGCTATCAAGGATTCGATCTTGTAAACTTCAAGGAACGACAATATCCGCTATCTGAGCTTCCACAGTTTAAGATTTTGAAAAGTGAGACATATGAGGCTTTCAAAACTATGATCTCCCAAAAATTTGAGATTCCAGTTGAACAAATAAGACTCTGGATTTTTGTAAAACGACAAAATAGGACTATTAGACCAGATACTCCAATAACAGATGATTTTCTTGGCAAGAGTAAGTAATATTTAAAACAAATTCTTTTTCATTTCGTAATAAACTTCTATCAATATATTAATTTTTTATGATGAATAGCAATGGAAATAATACGCAAAAAAATGGTACGAAGATACAATGAATTGAAATTATTTTTGGAAGTGGCAAAACCAATTAATGGCAAAGTAGTACTTAGTATTTATCAATCCATTATATTTTAAGCATTTTTTTTTTTTCGCTCATGATTTCAATTATTGTTTATTTGATACATAGATATTGTTCCCACCGACCGAATGTAACTCCAACGTATTGGTTTTCATCAAGTATTTTAACCCCGATACGCAATCTATTGAGTATGTTATTTAAATTGTACTATTAATTCATTTGATATAAGAAATAATATTTAAGCCCATTTAAACAGAGGACTCTGTCATTTATATGTTCAACCGCTTGGTAAAGTTGGCGATATTATTCCAATACTTTGTGAGAAAAAGGAATTTTCACCACAAACACCCCTGAAAATATACGAAGTAAGATATATTTGAGTATATATTTATTTGTCTTGTTTTGTTGATAACGAACGGTATTTTATTTATTAAAAAATAGGAAATAAAACCAGACATGATTGAAAAAATGTATCCAGAAGTTACTTTTCAACAATCTGAGATACAAAATGGTGATATAATTTGTTTCCAAAGGGCTTTAACAGAAGAAGAGTAAGTTGCTGTATCTTTTAATCCGATCTTGTCTCGCTTTTTATTCATTTGAATTTCCTGCCTCAAATTAGAATTCAAGAACATACTGCTGTGGGTCGTATTCATGATATTCCTACATTCTATGAGTCATTATCTATGCGTATCATCATTCAATTTAAACCGAAATATATAAATCGAGAACAAAAACCTGAATTTATGATGGTTTTAAATAAAAAGTACAAGTATGATGATGTACGTTGAAATTATTTATTTCGCATTATTATGTATGGTAAAGAATGGTTAAGTGAGGAAATATTATAACAAAATATGATATTTTATCGAGTTTCTTTTCATGTAGAAATTCACAAAAATATTATACTTATTATAATAGTATATGATTTTAACAATTTATTCAATTGATAGGTATTTATTTTCGCTTCTTTTTATTTCTATAGGTCGCTAAACGCGTTGCTATTTTTTTAAACGCGGATCCTTTGAAATTACGATTTACAACGGCACATCAAACATCCAGTGCACACAAAACTGTAATTAAAAGGATGACCACACAAACACTTTCAGAGATGCTTCAAACAACCAATCCATCTGGATCAGTACTTTTATATTATGAAATGCTTGACATTAGTATTGTGGAATTAGAAACTAAGAAATTCTTTAAAGTATACTGGCTTGGAACAACTGTCAAGGAAGAGGTAAAAAGTACATTATATAATATTTCGATTTATATATTAAGTCAATTCATTAATAATTATTATATTCCTTTTTGAAGGATGTGATTGATATTTGTCTTCCAAAAACCGCTATAGTCAATCAAATTTTTCAAATAATTATAAACAAATTAGCATTAAAACATACTAGTAGGATTAGATTATATGATGTTTTACGTTATAAAATTCAAAAAGAATATGATATTAACGATCCAATAGATGAAATAGAGGAAAATATAACATTATACGCGGAGGTTTGTTTTTCTTGTGACTTTTGGATATATTATCTTTAATTTTGGAAAAATAACCTATTTCATATTTAGGAAATACCACAAGATGAAATCAAACTAGGCACTAAAGATAAAGTTATTCGAGTATTTCATTTTGCAAAGGAACCATTATGCGCGCATGGAATTCCATTCAAATTTGTTATCAAAGCTGTTAGTATCTTTAAAATATTATTTATCGTGTGATTGCTTACATTTATGTTATACTTATTTATTATTTTTACGTTTTATATAATCAGGGTGAGCCCTTCTCTATGACAAAGTTACGTCTTAAATTACGCTTAGGAATGAATGAAAAAGATTTCACGAAAGTGAAAGTTGCGGTCATACAAGAACTATCATATGCCAAACCTCAGTATATAGATGATAGTATGTATACTCATTTTTTTCAATTTTTTATCTTTAAAAAATTTACAATTTCTGATAAATTTCGTTACACGCATTCAATAGATGTTATTCTGTCAGATTATGAATTGACAGATGAGCTTCTAGGTCTTGATCATTTTGCGTCTCAAAAACTTGAAATCGCAGTATAATGTGTGCTAAAAAAAAATTAGGCAGTAGCGAAACATCAATTCATCTGGGCGGTAAAAATCTGAAAGCAAAAATAAAATAAAATAAACAACCAAAAACTTATGTCTCAGAATTTATACTGAATCAATCATTTTTTAACAACTTAGTACTAAATATTTAGATGTTTAAGAAATTGTAAATAATTCAAATGCTATGCTTCATTCTGAATTCCATACGAATCAATTTAATGTATCGTTATTATCCAGAACGAAGATAGTGACGCTGTTTTACGATATACTGCAGTGTTTATCTTGAATATAGAGTGATCCTTAGTTACACTATTGCATCTTTGAGTAAAACCTTCATTCGAAGAAGGAAAAAAAACAAAAAATATCAATTTTCAGATTTACTGTTTTTCTTATTTAAAATCATGTGATATTCGAAATTTTTTGCGGGAGATTATACCGACCGCGAAATCTATGGACAGTTCTTAGGGACAGTGCGAGATCATGTGATATTTCGAAAGATATAGATCACGTGTTTTCA